TTTATTCCCGCATTGCAGTCAGTCTCAAAGACTCAGAGACTTGTATAGCAGAGTATGAATCCTACCCTTTTAGATTACTTTGGTCTGGAATTAACTTCATAGCCATCAAGACATTCTGAATAGTTGTTCCATGCCAAGTTATATAAGATAAGAACACATCTGTGAATATTCTTAATACAATAATGGCAATATTCCATATACTTAATGTGGAATTTCCACTTGTTGTTCTGTTTATTAGGAATACCACCTCATTAAAATTCTAATATTTTGTAGCTTTGTGATTTGTTCTTGACTTGCACACTCCTTGTGGTAAGCAGCATAGTTTTGATCATCATGAAAGGCAACTTATTTTCAACAGTTGAGCAGTGTATAAACGGACCAAAATGAAACATCTTGGACTATAGAGTAGTTATGTCACGATAGCATTCTTTCAGGACCCTATGCAGACAACACAATTCAGGGAGGAGTAAGGAGAACACGGGGGAAAAAGCATGCAAAGGGCTGAAAGGAAAACAGGGGGCATGTTCATGGTGCGCTGGTGTTCGGGGGAGGTGTGGCTGAGGCAAATCCATGAGTGTAGCAAAAGTCCAAGACCAGGTAATCTATCCTGACAGACAGAGTTAAAAGCCGGAGCGGGATACAGCGGAAGTACGGGGGAATAAAAGGGGATAACGGGACCAGACACCCCCTAATCCCAGACTCAGAAGGTCAGGACGTTGTGATGAAGCCTGTGCCGTCGAGTCGCTCCTGGACTCGCGGATAGGCGGGCTTCTAGGCATCCATATTCCAAAGCTGAGCCAACACCAGGACCCCGCAGATGGCACTCTGGAAGCCCGGGACTCCATCTGGTTTTATTTTTCCTTGTTTTTTTGTTTAGGGCTTTGGAGCCACCCTGGAAAGGATGGGGGTACTGTCACGATCATAAACCCCTCCTTTTAAGGACACTCCAGCCCTTCCTTGTTCTGTACTCATCCCCTGCACCTGCCTCCGGTTCCTGCCCCTTGTCCTATAAAGGCCAGGCGTTTCTGCCAATCTGGGCTCAGTCTGTGTTTGTCATGCCTGGTCCCGGTACCAAAGAAAGGGTGTCCCTCTGTCCTCAACGACTACAGACCAGTTGCACTCACTTCTCACGTCATGAAGACACTGGAGAGGCTGGTCTTATCCCACCTGAGACCCCTGGTCAGCTCATCACTGGACACCCTACAGTTTGCCTACCAGCCCAGTGTTGGTGTGGAGGATGCGATCATCTACATGCTGCAAAGGGTCTACTCACACCTGGACAGGGCTGGTAACACTGTAAGGATCATGTTTTTCGACTTCTCCAGTGCCTTCAATACCATCCAGCCCTTACTTCTAAGGAGGAAGCTGGAGGAGATGCAAGTCGATGCCTCCACGACCTCATGGATCACTGACTACCTGACAGGCAGACCACAGTCTGTGAGACTTCAGAATTGTGTGTCTGAACAGGTAGTGAGTAACACAGGGGCACCTCGGGGGACAGTTCTTTCTCCATTCCTCTTCACCCTCTATACTTCGGACTTTAAGTACAACTCAAAGTCATGCCACCTGCAGAAGTTCTCAGATGACCCTGCAATTGTGGGATGTATCAAGGGTGAGCAGGAGGAGGAGTACAGAGGACTGGTCAGCAGCTTTGTGGAGTGGTGTGGGTTGAACCACTTGGAACTGAACGTAACAAAGACAAAGGAACTGGTGGTAGATTTCAAGAGGAAAAAGGCCAAACCTACTCCTGTCTACATCCATGGGAGTGGCGTGGAGATGGTGGACTCGTACAAGTACCTGGGAGTGCACATCGACGATAGACTGGAATGGTCTAAGAACATCGAGGCCATTTATAAGAAGGGACAGAGCCGACTTTACTTCTTGAGGAGGCTCAGGTCCTTCAATGTGTGTAGTAAGATGCTACATATGTTCTATCAGTCGGTGGTAGCGAGTGCCATTTTCTATGCAGTGGTATGCTGGGGCTCTGGGATTAGAGCAGTGGATTCTAAAAGGCTGAACAAGCTCATCAGGAGAGCAAGCTCTGTCATTGAGTCTGACCTGGACCCCTTGGAGGTAGTGGCTGAGAGGAGAATTATGTCCAAACTAGAGGCCATCATGGACAACTTCTCCCATCCCCTCTATGACAGGCTTGCAGGAATGAAGAGCACGTTCAGCAATAGACTGATTCATCCACGGTGCGACAGGGAGCGCTACAGGAGGTCATTCTTGCCTTCTGCCATAAGACTGTACAACGCATCCACCTTACGTCTTGGCAGAGGCAACATCGACAGTGAGCTGTTTCTGGACTAAACGCATCTACACATCTACTGCTACATCTGTTCTCTTTCTTTTTCTTTTCTTTTTCCCGTTTACAACCATTTTTTGTGCAATATATGCCAGGCACCTGTGAATACATTTATATCTATATTTACATCCATATCTATATTTACATCTATATTTATATTCATATGTGTGATACGATTTTTCTGTGTACTGTTCTGTTCTAGTTTGTTCTTTGTGTGTCCAGACTGTGAGTAACTCTTGTATTGTATTGTATGTATTGTACTATTATTATATAATTCGTTACACTGTGGCTGTGTTGTGTGTGTTTAGCTGCTGTTGCACTGCAATTTCCCTTACGGGATCAATAAAGTATCTATCTATGCAGTAGACTGGTGTATCATCCAGGGAGCATCCTGTCTTGTGCCCATTGCTTATTGGGATAGGCTTTGGCTCCCCAATGACCATCTGTTCAATAAAGTGATAAGAAAATGGATGGATGGAATTTAAAAAATATTAAAGTCAATTGTCAAAGTTCTGATTGTCATAGATCTGTTTTGTATACTGTCAGAACAATACATATACCTGGTTTTGAAACAAGTGATCAAAGCTGTATTTTAAGTGTATTGCACAACATTAAATTTACTTTTGAAATACTGCTGTGACTAAAAATTATGTGCCATTAAGTATATGTACTTGCATTCTGTTTGCCTTTTTCCATTTATTTTTATTGTTATTCCATTATGTAGAAGATAGAAATGAATTGTCCACATAAATTAATAACACTGAGAAACACAGAGTTTAAAGAAGCTAGCTATGAAAAAGAATTAGTTGTTCATGTTTTCGTAACTGCATTTAATACTCTGCATTTGTCTCTGTTGTCTTCTCACAGACATTTGCTCAGTCATCCACTCCATCTAAATCTTTTTGAAGTTCCTTTGCAGCTTCTGCAGCATTTGCTAATCCACTGATTTGGTATAATCCGTCAACCTGACTAGTATACCAATTATTAGAATTAAATTTACCATCTTTTTTATCTATTAAAGGTATCTTTACACATTATATATGGCACATTTATTTCAAATTCTAAGACATGAGAAAAATATTATTCTCTTTTGCATTCCACATTTATTTATTTTGATGAAGAAATCATAAATAAAACTAGAAGTGAATAGTATTAGGTATCCACTGACCTACCTGAAATGAGCTGACTGACTTAATCTTTTCTTTAAATTCAGTTATTAAAAAACATAGTTAACCACTTGATTCAAGAGAGACAGAAATTGGGGCAGAACCAATACTACACTGTACATCCTCAGTAGACAAAAACAATTAAACTTCATACGGCTAACACCGGAATAAGGCTCCACAGCCGAAACGTTGTGTTTCCTTTCTTCTCTTTTCAGCATGGAATAAACCTATTACTTGTTCCTTTGCAGCCTACACATACTGTACTGACACAGCTACCCACCTGAGCTACTTAATATGGTGATGTTTTAGACTCAGGGCTAGTATTACAAATGACACTGTACTTCAACTTAATACAATGTACTAAATGAACACAATAGATATTGTAAGTTAAGTATTTTAAATTACTGTAACTTGTAAGATGGTAAAGGCATTTAAATAGAAAATCATTATACTGTACAGTGTAATAAAAGCAGCAGTCACACTGTATAATAGATTTAGTTGAAGACAGTGGACTTTTCTAATACATATTTGACCTGTTAGTGGGATAAAGTGGTCAATGACACCAAATGGAAAGAGTTTTGCAAGAAAAACAACAGATAATGTAGCATGTAAGCATTCAGTTAAAGAATGTTAAAGTTAAAGATAATGTTTTTCTGTTTTATCTTGAGAAGTTATTTAGAAATAAATATTCTCATGTCCAGCTATGTACATGGCTATTCAATTTTAAAATTGTCCTGTTTGGGGCTAAGCCCTATATTAATGTAATAAAGCAAAAGAAAATGTCTCCCATTCAGGGTTCATCTCCTTTCATCACCATCACTTTCAATAAACTGCTTTTCCAGCTCGGTGTTGACAGATGAGATCAATGTACAAGCATCATGATTTGAGAGGTATTACTCAATCTCCCTGTTGTGTAAATGTGAACTTCCTAATTGCCCACAAAGATAAAGCTTTGTGATGTCTGCATGGAGGTTCTATGTTCTCCCTGTGTTTGCGTGGGTTTCCTCCAGGTGCTCTGGTTGCCTCCCAAAGTCCATAGACATACTGGGAGGTTAATTGGCTTCTGGGAAAACTGGTCCTAGGCATGAGTGTGCACATGTCTGTGTGTGCCCTGCAATGGACTGGTGTCTTGTACAAGGTGTATCCTGCCTTGGTTGCTAGGATAGGCTCTAGCTCCCCTGTCCCCTGCCAGTTCCCCTAAAGCATGCTGATTTACACATACTGTACACCCTAATTTACCCCAAACTCCAAACTCTGCTTGTATATTTAGTTTTGTTTTTAATTCATGCATTCAAAATTAATATGAAATATCATATTCATATGGAAATATCTCAAAACCAGTCTTGATGCACAGAGTAATAAGTGCAATGGATTTCAAAGATAATTAGTTTAAAAAATAAAGTGAATACAATATTTCGATATTAAATTTAAAAAAACGGAAAAAAAACATACATTACAAATTTCAGGTTGAAAGTGGTAACTCATGAGAGCACTACAACTCCCAGAATGCTCAAGAACTCTGAGTCATATCCTGCTCGACTTGCACTCAGGAAGTGTGAAAGTGGAGCGGAGTGAGAATTGTTTGCGATGGAGTCGAAAACATTACCAGTAAGTTTACATTAATTATAGAAATTTATGCTGTAGTATTTAGTATGTGTTGCTGCGTGTTAAATGCAATACTGTTACTAACAGTAATGCAGCAGAGAGTCGTTAGAGTAAAAGTATTCATGGTTACTTTTTATTATGAGAGGTGCATGTAATTTGGTTGTACGTGGAGTTGTTAAAACAATCTAAATTTATTGTATTCAGTATAAAATAAGTCCCTGTTGGAGTTCTGTACATTTTATATATTATCTCCCCATCACTGTTTTTGTTTTACGGCCTGTCTTTTTTCTGTGTTGGGTGATTGTTCTCAAATATAAATCATGGCATGTGAACGTGAAGGGCCTCTTAAAATCAGGTTTCTCTTCTAAGGGCGATATTTCCGATCTGCACGAATCAAGTAGAGGTCTTCAGATTTCTGTTTTGACGTGTCCATAAACCGTCGTTTTGTATGCCGCTTAAAAAACACTGCAATTTTCCGTGCGGTCCTTTCGAGTATTATTCTCCACTCTTTCCGGAATGTAACCAGTGTCAGATTAATAGTGTTGCATTTAAATGTCATAAAGTATTTTAAAAATAGAATTTCAAATTAATACAGTTTGTTGCACATCTATATTTAAGTGGCTCGATACGCTCACGTAGCGGTTCAGCAGGTTAATTATCCTATTTACTTTACATATTGTAGAGAGCAGATACCTTACAATAGTTAAGTAAATTCGTTTCACTGAGTTTGAGTGTACTCGTTTGCCCAGTATTGTTTTTGGTTTTTCTTTACCACGAGTGTAGTGTTTGTTAGCTCTCTTCTTTTATTATCTTTTGTGAAAGTGATTCGTTTGCTTATTTTACCAGAATTTTGGCCAGAGCATTTATATAAGTAAAAAGAGCAGTGCTCCCAATAGAGATCCTTGAGGTATTCCACTTATTACCTAAATTTTAGCATCCAATCTTTATCTGATCTGTTTTCTGTGCAATAACCTGTTCAAAATATATGCATTGGCTTGAAGGCCAACAGGCTGCAAATTAATAATCGAAATGTAATAATTGAAAATGTAAGAATACTCTATTTTATAATCAGTGTGTATCATTTCCTCCTGTAGCATATTGAAAGACCTGCCTTTTCTTAATTCATGATCATCAACCTTTGGAAACGACTCCCACACAGGTGATTCTCTAGCAATCTTTGTATTTTGGGTTTCATAACCTTACATGAAATAGAAATAAGTGGAATAGAAAATCATAGTTTCCTTTAGAAGAAATGGTAGAATGCAATTGGGCCCTGGAGATTTATCTTACGTGTTTCTAGTATCTGTAACACTTCTCTCAATTGTTATAATGTTGTATAACAGAAAACTAGACTTGAGTTAGACTTAGATCCCACAGTTTCTCTGTATCATTCAGATCCACAATTTAAGGAAGGTATTTCAGTCCTGATGTGTGCATGGTGCATGTGTGAACTGACATGGGTTAAAGTGTGCCTGTCTTCATGGATGGAGCTCTGCAGGGGAAGATTGTATGATTGCAGATATGTTGGTTGACTTTGGCATTAGAGATTCAAAATGCATGAGTCACAATGCAGTGCTGAAATATCATGGGTATGAACTCCATGTTTTAATAACTTTCACCTATCAGCCATCCATGAGAGTTTGTTTTTTATGCTGATAATTAGAAAAATCATCATTCATCCTCATGTCCTCATCCTCAAAAGCAGAATAAATAGACCATTCCTGGGTTTCAGGATCTAATTACCCATTTTCCTGTGCTTCAGCTTTCTGGTATTTTATTGATATATAATGTAATTCTTATGTTGTTGCTGTTTTAAGCTGGACATTTTTGCTTTTGTAATTAATTTAGAAACGTGTATATTACAGATGTTTAGGCTCTCATAATTTTACAGTCATTCTAAGAAATGGCCATAATAATGACTACTGAATTTGTTATTCAAAGCTGCAGTCTTAGATTAAGAAGACACTAGTTTATTTTTTGTAGCTTGTATTTACTTTTTCATTTCCATGCAATTTTATGATTTGTTGTCAATTATGACTGTAGGAAATGGAAGGTAAATAGTAGAGTGTCCACCTTCTAGCCTGATCTTGTCAGATCTCGGAAGTTAAGCAAAGCTGGGCCTAGGACAGGATCTGGGACATCTCTAAGGCAGGTGTCCTCAGATCCTTTCCTTGATGTACACATACCTAAAGTTTTCCAGCAATGTTCTTTACTTCAGCTCTTTACTGAACTAGGAGTTTGCTTGAATGGAACTTTTCAAAAGTTGGAGATTTTAAATTACTTATTTAAAACAGTAGCTAAAGGGCAGCCTATAGCATGTTTAGAAATGGTTAACAAGGACTTCTTATATAATATTATGATAATGTCAATTAATGGTAAAGTTTGGTAACTGAGAGCTGATCTGGAATAAAGCACAGCAGATCTGTAGGTCCCCAGGGCCAGGTTTGGGATCTCCCGCTCTAAGGAGAAATAGGTCCTGCTTTCAGTGGTGTTGGTGGACTAGTAAGTGGCACTCTCTCATCTATGTCAAAATTTCTCATCCTTTTTTTCAGCTGGTACTCCAGTACTGAAACTGGGGATACTGTGCAGTAGGAGGTGTTGGCCTTTGAAAGAGAAGTTAAGTCAAGGTCCTGACTACTTAGTTAGGAAAGATCCCACAGTAATGCTCATAAGAGAAGTGTTTACCTTGGTATCCTGGCTCTTTGCACTCTGGGCTTGCACAAGCTGCATTACTAAATGAAATTAATCTAACTGAAGAATATAGAATACTAGCTGATACTTGAGAAGGCATCACTTCTTTCCATGTTATTTAGGGCTGTAAATGTAATAAGCATCAAGAACAACAAAATAGAAGCTCAAAACTGGAGGATAAATATTTCACAGTTACTATCTAAATCTAACTGTTGATAGAGATCATAAACTAAATTGTACACTTTCATCAAATACAGTAAGCTTTTATAAATGTTTGTGAAGCTAATATGTTGCTAGATTGACCTAGTGTAGTAACCATCTGTTCTTTATAATATCTATATAATATCACCACTACGCCTGAGCAGTAGGACTTGGACAGTTTGTTCCTAGGCTGTGTTTCTTTGACTTTTCACAAGATTGGGTGTTTTGTTTTGTAGGCAGATTAGTTGTTTTACATTGTTGCCTTGGGCTTTATAGTAACCTAACATTCAGTGGGTGTGACTCAAAAAGCAGCATAAATACTGGGAAGTTGTTGAACTGATGTGTGGTACCAGATAAGCCGGTTCTCTTTACAAAAACAACCAATTCAGTCTTGTGTTACCCCATGTCTTTGGGGTCTTGTGACAAGTACAAAAATCATTCTAATGTCAAGTATTTAAAATATTATTACACAAAGAAACATTTATCAGATCTTCTCCATGTTTTGCTGCTGTACCTGTCTCATTGTGATAATTGAGTGCATGTAATAGTGATTAGTTCAAAAACAAATCGCTCTGGTTGTTACAGTTGTGTATATGAATTCCAGCATGGCAAATTGTCAGGCCCTGTCAGAATCAGTCAGAACCCCAAAAAATGGGTCATATCTGGATGATATAAATAGACTGTGCGGCTGTATTCTTTTCTCTCTTTAACAGTCATGGTTACAGAAAACTAAAGGAAGGGAGGAGACCAGAGTTGTGAGCATCAGTATCAGTGGTTTTGAAACCCCCCAAAAGTGTGTAGAGCATAATTTTGTACATTTTTGACAATCCCCCCCCCCCCCCTTCTGGTTTTTACCAAACCTGCATGCCTCCCCCAGTTTCTTACTGAAAGAAATGTAACCCTTTGCATGTGGACTTATTTGCAAGTTATTTTGTGCAATATTTAATTGTCTGTTTTTATATTAATATATTTAATGTTGTCATACATGATCAACTAATTTTACCCTTGTATCTGTGCTTCAGTATAATGTACTGAAAAACAACTGAAAATTTCAAAATGAACAGTCAATATATATGTTAATTAACACTTGAGTAGTTGTAGTAATGCTGATAAAACGTACTACTGAAATATTTCAGATTCAAACCTAACGGAAACTGCAGTAAGCAATGATTTTTTGCAATCATTTACATGTCTTGACATTGAATTTGTCTTGAATCAAATGAGTTTAATTAACAGATGGTTTTCTCTCAGAGCTCAGAAAATGTAGGTTTGAAGGATGAAAGAATGCTGTTCAAGTCACTGTCCATTTCAATCTGATTGTTGTTTAGTTGAAAAGATCTGGTAGTGCCCAGCTGCGTTCAATCCTTTTGGCTTTTTTTTTTAATTCCTTCTGGTTTGCATTCAGATGTCATTCCCAATGGCCAGGTGTAATGGCGTCATTGCTAAGAGCTGTGTATTTAAAGAATTCTAGAAATTTGCTGTTTTTGAACAAATCATTTCAGTGAAACCAAAAACAAATCTCTTTTCTCCTGGTGATTTTTTGATTCAAGCCATTCTGTTCAGGGAGACAAGACTCGGCAGCTCCGAAAAGTATTCGGTTCCCATCTCAGCACTCAGAGAATGAAAGGAGGAACATGGAAACTTGCATTGAAAGTGCTACAGTAAACATTAAGCAGTCATAAATTGTCAATTTCCTCATAAATGCATAAGTAAAACATGGGCTTTTGAGGGCTGTGTGTAGAGACTGTATTTTGCTGGTTATATCAAGCTCTTATTAGGGCATACTTTTGATACCACTGTAATGTTGCCATAGCCAAAATGTAAATGTAGTGGCTCTCTGAAGGCACCAGTTCTGTAGGGTTTGGGCATTTACTGGGACAATTATTAATTGTAGCAGTAAATCACAAAATTGATTCTTTTGATGGCTTTAGAATCCAACCATGCGACATAACTCGAACAACGCACACACACAGGTACTAATACACGAGGATACATTTATTAATACATAGAATATGCATATAAACCTAACAGATCTTATCGAGAGGGTTATCAGAATACAAAAGATATATAATCAATCAGTTACAAAGAGTTACATATATCAAGAGGACATA